TCTCTCTCTCTCTCTCTCTCTCTCTCTCTCTCTCTCTCTCTCTCTCTCTCTCTCTCTCTCTCTCTCTCTCTCTCTCTCTCTCTCTCTCTCCGTTTAAAATGTATTGCACTGGAGCAAGGCCCTAAGATCTGTGGGGAGCAGACACGATAGTGCTTATGAAGTGCACTCACGTGTGCATTATTCTAAATGTTTCTAGAAGGATAAATAAATTGAATATTAATTGCAAATATCTGGTCAGTCGAAATGTAACTGTTCTTGATGGCAAGATGACCGGTGTTCTCACACGCATTATCACTATGAACACCATGCCCTACTTCTCACAGGAAAGAACACCTACTGTCGCCACTGCAAACTTCATCAGCGCTCTACCCTTCTGTCCCGCTTCTCAGGCCAAGGTTACGGCAGGTCTTGGTAATAATATACTATGACTTCATTTCCATTCCAAGGGAAACTGAGAGCATACTCGCACTAGGACTTTTTCGACTTAGCTCTGGACGTGATCGCAGTCAGATTCATCCAGGTCCAGCCGTTATTGCCGTCAGATACATTTTAGGAAAGTCGTAGTGCGAGTATGCCCTGAGTGAGTGTCCTTGATGGTGAGAGGATGAACGGTTGACCTATGAATTTTTATTTTTATTTTTATTATTTTTATTTTTATTATTTTATTATTTTTATTATTTTTATTATTTTTATTATTTTATTATTATTATTATTTTTATTATTTTTATTATTATTATTATTATTATTTTCTAAAAAAAAAACAGAGAACTGACCTGTGAATACATTTCCATTCTAACTTCTAAGGGAAATTCAGTGATTGAGCTGTATCAGGATATTTTTGTACCTTGACGGCAGCCAATAACAGCGGTCACGGAGATTATTACCGACAGGTGTGAAGTGTAGCTAGCTACCAAGAGATGTGCATCCTGGCCACTTCCCAGCATTTATTCGCTTCTATGAGCTTTTAAGTACATGGAACTACGCCACCGGACTCCTCCTAACCTCTGCCTCGGAAGGCTGTTGTCGTCCAATGAATAGAACTTTCTCTGTACGGTCGTTATCATTGTATCTAGACTCAAGCCCCACATACAGCTATTATACCGTACGTTCTATTCCGGAGGGGGAAAAGATGGTGGTAGGCGGTTAAGCTCTATGCAAACTTTTTGCTGATTGTTGCTGCTGATCCGTGGCAGCCTTGCTTCTCCATTGCAGTGGACAGACTCGTGCCATCATTCCGAAGAATGAGAACTGTTTGTGTGTCCAAATGCATGCCCATAGTGCCGGAAATGATGTGAATTCATGGTGGAATGCATTGTTTGTGTATTGAAGGATTTGTTCGTTTCGCTCTTTCAGTGAAGCACTTGGCTTCCATGTTGACATTGTGGGTATGGTGAGCCAACTAGAGAGTAGAATGGAGGGCAAGGAAGGGTAGGGAAATGAGGAAAAGTTGGGGCAAGGAATGTTGAATTTGCTTCGTGGTTCATTTGCGTATCAAATTATCTTTATGAAATTCAGTATCGTGCTGCTCACTGCTCAGCCATGGACTGTTAGCATTGTCATGGGAGAAAAGGGGACGAGTCGTGGAAATTTCTCACATGAAATGATCTTTAATAGACTTTTATGTAATTCAGTGTTGTGCTACTCAGCTGTCGGTCGTTAGCAGTGTCATGGCAATAAGGGGGGAAGAGTGGTGGAAATAGAGAAAATGTAAGGACCCCAGAAACTATATGGTGGGTTTTTATGGGCCTTGTTTTTCGAATATGGATGAGGTGATACCCAGTTAGTTAACGGATGAAGTTAACGCCTGAGTGAACGCCTGAGTTAACGAATGAGTTAAATGAGTTAACGGATGAGTTAACGAATGTGTTAACGGATGAGTTAACGAATGTGTTAACGTACGAGTTAACGAATGAGTTATCGCTTTGATATGGAGTTATAAACGATTGTCCTTTGAGGAAAAGTGTGGGTGATGGTATCCATGAATTTCTGCATTGCATTTCTCTGTTCTTGTGTCTTATGTTCGCCTTTGGGGGGGTTGTGGTTTTGTGGCGAATTGTGTTGTGGGAGGGGTGTTGGCTTTGTTGGGTGTTAATATTCATCATCTGTGGAATTCTGCTGGTGCATTTGTATATTTTTGCGCGGGTGTGCATGCGTGTTTCGCATGCACATGTGCGCTGGCTGGGGGGGAGTAGGTGCTGGATGCTCTCACAGCCCTCCTCTCACGAAGGCCACCTCCGTGTGCTGAGGCTATATGGCATGCAGGTTGGCTCTTAAGACAACTTTTGCCTAATGCTGAGAGCAAATTGAATGAAAGCCGATGGCAGTCCATGGATGTAAGTATGTGCTCTTGCGAACGGACGTATCTTTTCGACCTTTTAGGCTTTTACGTGTTCTTGAGAATGTTATGTCGCTCTTCGAGTCTGTGTTCCTCAGGGGTGGTCCCCTTAGCAGATAGATAAAAACTGGGTAGGGCATAAAAAGTTAAAAACTGAAAAACTGGGTAGGGCATGTGTATGTACTATGTAGTGTAGCCTTTTTCTGCCATTATGGTTCTCCGTGGCTAGTGAAGTAATCACCGGGTGTAAGATATGCTCTCCTCCTGATGAGAAGGATATGGTACTGTCCTTAAACCGAATAAACGCTGAATCATTATAGCTGTATTCGGGCAACTTCGAGTCCCGATGCAGCAATATTGACCGGATGTTCTATTCGGGTGAAGGCAGTAGGTTGGCGATCCAGGTGCATTGAGAAGTTCCTGCCAAATTGCAGATGATGTACCTCCACCGCGTTTTCAGGGGAATCTGTGCTGAGTGTGTAGTACTGTGTACTCTCTTTTTCTTTTTTTTTCGTGGAGAAACTTTACGTGTGTGTGTGTGTGTGTGTGTGTGTGTGTGTGTGTGTGTGTGTGTGTGTGTGAGAGAGAGTTCATTTGGTTAGTGTATGACAGATTCTGTTGGTTAGCCTGCCGTTTTCCTTGGAGGTGCAGTTTTAGTGGTCCCGCTTAATGTCTTGCAGTTGTGCCTCGGGTAACTACACCCCAGAGAACAACGTTTCGTTCGGCACCCAACTCATCCATCCCTCCATCCCTTGCCTCCAAACCCCACTCACACAGATATGCACTCTGTGCAGTCATCTAGAAATTAGAAGGATGTGTCTGTGTTTGAGTCCTTATGTTTATGTGAGTGTGTGTGTGTGTGTGTGTGTGTGTGTGTGTGTGTGTGTGTGTGTGTGTGATAGAGCGAGACGGCGAATGGGTGTGTGCATCTGTTGCCCGGCGCCGGACAGTTCTCGAGGCTATCGCCTTTTTTTTTTTTTTCAATGTAATTGGTGCAAGTTAAGCTGTTTCGACTGGTGAGGCAGATGTGTAGGTGGCCAGGCAGGGGGGTTGAGCCTGCAGCTTGTCAGTGCTTTTGATTTTGTGAATTTTTGTCTTCATGGTTCTGGGCCTTCTGGCAATGTCCTTGGTCTCCGATTAATACATTTTCGATCCCACACTTCTCATGGAGTTTTTTTTTGAACCCTTGAAGTCCTTTTCCCAATTTTTTCTGTTATTTTACTCTTTGAGCACTTGTTTGCATTTTTATAGTCTTGGATCTTCATGATGCTTGTCCGATGTTCACTTCGGTGTGCCACCACCATTTTCATATTTTTTAAGGAGCGTTACAACTGTTCTCAGTCCAATTTTTTTTTTTAATAGATGAGGCTGTTCGTCAGATTGGGTAGTTTATTCACTCTACTGTCACTAATTCCTATGTCAGGATAGGGTGATTTATGCACCTGCTAATTTGCTTTCTCCACACATTTCATTTTCTTGTTTTGGTAATAATCAGATTTTCTTATTTTTTGAGGAGCTAACAACTGTTCTCAGTCCAATTGTTGTTGTTTAGACGAGGCCGTTTGTCAGATTGGGTAATTTATTCACTCTTCTGACACTACTCCCTATGTCAGGATAGGGTGATTTATGCGCCTGCTAATTTCCTTTCTCCACCCATTTCATTTTCCTGTTTTGGTGATAATCAGATTGCGTACAAGGCATCTTTGGATGATATCCTACGAGAAATGGACGATTGCTGGTGCGATGTGCTGCCCGCTGTTCTTCAGGACGAGTGGGCAGTGTGCAGACGAGGTACTTGCACCTGTTCAAACTTCGAATTGTTCAGCCTTTGTCGTGATTTTCCAGATCTTTTTGTTGTTGTTGTTGGTTTTCTTTGCCGCTTTCTTGGTTTGTGCGTGCTGCCCTTTCGGAGGGGCCATGTATATCTTGTTCCTCTTGTACCGTTCCAACTTTGATGGATATATCGAAAGGACCTTCAGACCAGTTCAATGTCCATAACTTGTACAAACTTGATTGAATGAAAATCACCATTGATAGGCAACTTGGCACCAATCTTGTAGTGGAAATTGCACCGGCATTCTTTATTTCATCGATACAAGAAAAAGCTACGTACACTTGGGGGGCTCATGTCTGCCCTGAGCAGCCTAGAAGGGGTTATTGGGGGGTGGGTATGAGGGTGTTGGGGGCGGTTTGGGGGTGCATGGGGGTGGGTATGGGGGTGTTGAAGGGGTTATTGGGGGTTCTGGACCCAAAAATAAAAATAGAAATAAATAAATTATTTTTGCTGTTTGCAGGGTGTGGATGACCCCCGGTCGGTAGGTACCGACCAGTCAAAGGGCGCCGACCGCAGGGGTATGCAACACTGGTCAAATAAAAATAAAAATAAAAGAGAACAAACTCGTACTTACCTCGTACTGGGGCCAGGTCTCGGGTTCATATCCGCCCCTTGCCCAACAGTTTTGTCTGCTTGTCACAGATAACAAGAGCCATTGCGAATGAGTGTGCCGTCTTTGCTGCCCAGACATGACGTTATGTGATACTTCTAATTGTGCCTGCTTTGTCAGCTAATTGTGCCTGCTTTGTCAGTTCTTGTCGGTTCTTGGAACTTTTATTCTCTTTTTTGAAGTTTTTTCTTTTTTCTGGTTCTTGAATGTTTGATAGTAATATACACCCTGGAAAAAAAAGGAAAAAAAAAAAAAATCAAATACTCTGTATCTTCGCTGACTAGAAGCACCACTGGCTGTGTTTTTGTCTTTCTTTTTTTCTCTATTTTTGCAAGTGAGTTGTGCCCTTCTGTGTTCCTATATTACCTGCCTGGACACCTATCAGACCCTGATGTCGGCATACAGATCAAGACGCCCAGGCTGGGGCAGCTTGCCAGGCAACCCGACGAACGGAAATTTGGGCCCTAAAGGGCCTTTGTATTTGACCGGCCGCTGACCAAAAAAGAGAAGATACTAAGATAGCCATGTTTGACAATGATTTCTACTAATTTTAGCCATCTTTCCAGAAATCTTTCTGACGTACGTGAAGCGTCCGCTCTGGCGAGCGGAGTGAGTGACAGGAGAATAGAATCAAAAAGTGAACCACGAATCTCAGTTCTCTCGTCAAAAAGAAGTATTCCCGTCCTCACCGGACTACAACACCTGGTCATTATAACTGTACCCAGATTGAAAGTTGCACCAAAAACGGCTATAATGACCAGGCGTTCTATTCCGGTGAAGACCGTTCGCCGTTTCAGACTTGTCCAGATTGTCTGGATGCATTCCAGACAGGACAGGCGAATTGGAGCTGCTTTCTTCAGCTATTCCATTTCCGGAAAAAGTCGGGTTGGTGTTTGGAAAAACTTGACATGAGCATGTTTTTGTAAGTTTTTCAACTTTTTTTTTGAAGTATTTCCCTTTTTTTGGCAGTAGCTTATTTTTGCGATGGATGAATTAAAATTATTAAATTGAATTTGTTGCAGCTGCAATACAGCCCCAATTTTTCTTATGGGAGTGAGAGCAGCTCTGGCAATTCCTTGTTTGTATTATTTTTTCTTAATCTTTAATAGCAAATTCCGAAGCGACACTCGGTGATCAAAGTTGTGTGTATCGAGATTCTATACAACACTTTCTGTTTTGCCTTTTTTCATTTCTTTTGTTCTGGGGCTGCGAGGGACCCCGGGCCTAGCGAACTGGGCACAACCAAAGGCAAACCCAAGTGCCTGGCCAGTAAAATTTGAAAAGTCTTCGTCCTGAAGGTCGTAAGAATTATTCCCATTAAACAAACAAGTGGACCCGCCGCGGCTTCGCCCGCGGCCAAAAGAGCAGAAAGTGTGAGAATTAGGGAGAAGGGAACCGACAAAGGATGCAGATATGCAAGAATTCATGTGGAGTCCGAAAAAAAATATATATATATAATAATATATGATATTCATTTTCCTGTACATCGATGTGAGTACACTTGTCTCTTGCTCTCTGTTTGCCCGTCTTTTGTTGAACCGGGTGTAGCAAACAGTGCATCTCGTACAGCAAAGATCGTCTCTCTTTCTTCACTGTCTTTCATTCTCTCTTTCTCTGTCTCTCTGCTTCTCTCCTTCTCTCTCTCTTTGTCTCTCTCTCTCTCTCTCTCTCTCTCTCTCTCTCTCTCTCTCTCTCTCTCTCTCTCTCTCTCTCTGCTTCTCTCCTCTCTTTCTTT